TGTGTATAATATAAGCCGTTGCCAGTAAATCAGGAAATACAAAAACATTAATTCATAATAGTTTATTTAATATTATATAAAATAAAACCATAACTTTAACACGTTTAAAATATGAATAAACAGTTTATTTTTAAATTAATGCATAGGAACTTCCTTTAATGTTATTATTTAATTTAATACTTAATGAGTTTCAATTGAAACTAAACAATAGATAAAAATATATACAATTATTTTGCATAGTGAAAGTTTTGGAAACAATTTCTCCCTTCCACAAAACAAAGACGGTTTTTACATTTAAGACATATGACAGAAGTTTGGCCAGATTTGGAATACCTACATCTGCCTTTGGTGGTAAATGCTGGACAATGGTCTATTTTATCTTGCATAACTTCTTGTGGAGGCCTTGGTGCAACCGGTGTTTGAACTTTTTTTACGTTTTGTTTTTCTTTTGTTATCGAAGTAGAAGGACGACCAACTCTTGGCTTATTTTTACAAGCCAATGCAATAGCAATATCTTTTCTAAATTCTTTTAACCTCATCGTGTTTTTTTCACTTTTGGTATCTCTTCTATATAATAACCAGGCATTATTTACAGATAGATCTAACATCTGCGAAAATAATGCCATATACCATTTGTGTGTCTTCATGTTTGTTCGGTAAAGCGCTATAAACATATCTGCAAGATCTACGCCACCCTTATGGGTATTATATATTTATATTCCTCAACTATTTTAGGATAAGGGACAGGCACTTTTTTTTTCGGTTTTTGAATATCTTTGAATTGTTTGGACGAGTTCTTCACCTGCATATAAGAGCTTGCCAAACTAACAATTTTATTGTCCAACCATTTAACAATAATTACTTTATTTTTTTTATCACACTTGCTAAAGAAGGTACCCCGTGGCATTTTACATAACTTCTTATCGTCTATATAACATCCACGCAAATGTTGTTTTCTTAATGTTCCAAGACTAAGAATGCCATATTCATGTCTTAAATAATGAATAAGCTCCGGTGTTGTAAAAAAATTATCAAAAAAAACTGAACTGAGTGGTTTATTGGGGATAGTTTTGCATAATGCAATAACTAATTTTGGTCCTAAATCGAAATATCTATTTTCATAATCGGAGAACTGTACATTCTGGAATGTATTTTCGTCAGAGTATGGGAAAAAATCATACACCATTGCATCGATTCCAGCACGGACAAATAGTTTAAAGCCCCACTTCTTCGGTTTATTTTTCATATATTGCCTACGTGAACCAGCCTTCTTTCCCTTGTATGGCACCATCATTTCATCTATTGAACATTTGTTTCTTTGAGAAATATTCAAACAGTTAATACGAATTTTTTCAATGAATTCCTTGCTTTAAAAAATCGATCGGTGTTGTTATCATATTCGTTATTTGTTAAGTGTAAGCATCGCAATATATGTTGATATTTTTTTATTGGCCTAATATCTGCTATTGGTCAAAATCTAGTGCCTTGTGCCCAATAATCAATATATGACGGCATTTTAACTATACCCATCCATAATTTAATACTTAAAAAATGTTTCATTTCTTCAGGAGTTGTAGAAAGAGGTTTCGAAAATTTTTGGATTGAAAACAAATTAGACTGTTCAACTAACAATTTGATTACCTCATTAGAAAATATTTTCGTAAAGTAATCTAAGGGCGTTAAAATAGTATCGTTAATAATATAGTTTTGTTCAACTGGAACCTCAACACCAAAATTAAATTTTTTTATTGATTTCCAAGTGAAATCTATATGTTTCAACGGCACTTTTTTTTTGGATGGTGAACAGGAGTGATGACCGGAGTCTCAATAACTGTTTTTTTATGAACTCGAGCTGAACGCCGTGATGATGAACTTACAGGTGTTACAGATAATGATGCCGTTGGAAGAGGTGTTGCAGGACTTGGTACTTGATTTGGAGATGGTAAATGAATACTTATTTCTGAAACAGCTTCATCTCTTAACATCTCAGTTTCTTCTGGTACTATCTGAGCATCAAGTTCTTCAAACACTTCTTCGTTCCAATCCTATATTATTTAATATAATAAAAATATAAATATAATTTATTTATTTTATATATTTTATATAATTAATATATAATATACATTATAATTTTGATTATATATTATTTTCTATAGTATAATATATTTATATTTATTTTGTATTATTTATATAAAAAATAAATATAATAAAATACAGTAATTAAAAGAAACCTACATCATTTTCATTCTCTTCTTCAAATTCTGCCATGAGCCTGTCAATCTCTGGTATATGTTGTTCATCTACCTATCTCTGACTCCGAACTAGATCCACTATCTAGCGGAAGTAAGGCCAAAGCCATCATTTTTCTTGTTCTAGAAAACATTTCTAAACACGACGTATTTATAAAATAATTTATAGTATGGATTATCGCGTTGATTGCAGCTCGAGTGGAAGCGGGCGACTTTCTGGTGCGGTACATATTTGTTTTGCACAGGATGGTAATATATAATGTATATAATAATTGTACAGAAATAAAAGATTTGTAGTAACTATAACATTGGTTCAACAAGACATGTTTATCCAAGAAAAACAACATATAACTAAACATAATATTATTATTTCATTGGAAAATGTGATAAAATTAATCAATAAGGCTCCACGTGGAGCCCATTTCGATTAATTTATAATAATAGTTTAATAATATAAAAAAAATAATTTAATATTATGAATTGGTTATCTTCCTTTATTCCGAAAATCGATTATTAATAATACAAAAATAAAAGGGAAATGTCTTTTGAGATACATGTATAAACTTACAGGCGTTGTGGCAATGTATCTTATAGGATACATAAGAATCAAATGACATTTAAAACTATTTATACAATATTTTAATCAAATAAATATATGTAATTATAACATAAATACTTCCTTTAATAGTTTTTTACCCTTGTTTCGTGCATTTTTCTAACAAATTACGGTTTTTGACCATTTTGAATTTGGGAATTCTTGTATATTTTATAACAGGGTAATACTCGATTTGTAATGCTTAACAGAAAAAGTATGATAACATTTAAGCGGGAAATAAAAATATGATAGTAATCAAACAGTCTAGCATTATTAAAAACGTTAAAATGTATATAGAAAAAATAAATATTTAAAGTATTTAAAAATGATAAAAGTGAGTGTATCTCCTAGGATACAATACCAAGTTAAGGGTTATGGGGATTACATTACATCTAGACCGCACGGCTAGCTTGAATAAGCGGGCCGCGGGAGGCAGTAACGGGTCTGCAGAGGCGCGATTAAAAATTAAAATTTTTAGGACGGTGAATACAGATTGATTGAATAATACATGCATGAAGCTAGCCAAAAGATCGAGATTTTGAGTAAGTCGTGATAAGGTTGAGAGCTTGTAGAGAACGACTTAGCAACGCGCTGGGTAGGGCTTTGTTAATAGTCCTGAAAAGGACTTGTTTTTCAGTCTCGATGGTAGATCGACTGTTTGATTGTCGACGGTAAATGAAGTGAACTGTAGGTTAGGTTAAGTAGTATGTATTAGTTTTTGTTCTCCAAATATGATGTTTGTAACTCGATATCACGATATCTTTATTAAATGCCTACCGCTCTTCTCTAAAGTCTTACTTGATTGTTTGGATATTACCTTCACGAATTTGTTATCAGTAGCGATCATCAGGGACGTCTCGAATGGGGGTATTTTGGAATATGGTATAATATATGTCTACTGATTACTATGTATGTATAGGCATAGGAGACAGTTGTCGAGCTATGTGAGAAAATTTTTTTGAGTTGGTACATTAATGCATCCATCCCCCTTTATTACGAGGCGTGTCCAGAAAACAAGTGTACTCAATTTTTGTAGGCTTCAAAAAAATGTATTGAAAAAAAACAAACTACGTGGTTATATTAATATATTTATGTGCTATATTTCTACATACTTTTTCAATGCAGGTTGTGAGATTGCAGATTAAAGGCTGAATCATAGAACTCTGCCGCCACCTCCTTTGACCACTTGCCGACCACCCCCTTCACTTCCTCGTCAGTTGAAAAGACAACAAATTTCAGTGTAGCGTCCTCTTATATAATTGAAATTAAATATTAAAAATTCCACAACATTTTTTTTTAATATTAATTTTTAAAATAAAAATCACACTAACAAAATAGCCTTAAAAATGATGATGCGTGGACAGCTGAACGGTTTGTACAACGTTGAGGAGTTTTTACTACGAAGAATAGTGTGTCATACCACAGAACAATATATTGGTAATCACCTCTAAATTCTGCGAAATTTGCCCGTTTCATCATTTCAAGGTTTTAAAAAAATTTTAAATCTGTAATTCATTTCTCCCTTAATTATCTATGAAAAGAAGTTGGATGTGTTTTATCCAGCTTTTTAAACTTTGATTGTGCAAAAATGAAAAGCGCAATTTGTTAGTATTTGTGAAAAAGAAGATATTTGTTGAAAAAGCTGTATAAAGTTTGGATTACTTCTTTTTAGGTATAATTAGGAGAGGAATGACTGACAAATTTTAAATTCTTGTTTTCAAATACTTACAAATTGAGCTGGACATTTTGGTTCGGTCGAAAACTTTGAAATGATAAAATGGTCAAGTTTCGCAGAAGTATGCACTATACAACAACAAATGTGCATTAAATATGGAATTCAATACTTAATAGTTAAAAACGATGAAATATTTTCCAAAATATAATCTGTTGTGTTATTTTAACATAATATAAGTAGAGGGGAAAAGAACCAGAGTGAGGAAGATAGATGGCAAGTGTCAATTAACTACTAGAAGAAATTACAGCAGGATGGGAGCAGGTAAATGATAGAGATCGTTGGCGGTAAAAAGACGCATAACATAGGGCTTGTAAAGCAATAACAAAATATAAATACATAAATTAAATTATAAATTAATTTTATTTTTTGCTTTTATCATTGCAATTACAAATAAATATAATATAATAAAGCCAATGGCCCCTGTCACCGGAGCTGATAATCAATTAAGGAAAATCAAAAATTTAATTTATATTTAAATAATAATAAAAAGTATAATTACTATAATTCAAACAAAACATTAAGAACGATTTTTAACTTTAAAGACTCTATTCAAAAAAGCAACATATTCATTTGGTGTAATGTAATATTCACAAAAAACAGTTTCTCCCAAATTTGTTTCACCTGAAAAATAACTTGGTATTAGATTTGTTGAGTGTAGTCATTAGAATGCTGATTGTCCTTCCACAAACACGAAACTTTATTTGTATACTTATATATAGATCATTTTTTAGCTCCAAAAAAATCAGACAAGAAAGTATTCAATATAAGCCCATTTAATATGAATATGTTTACCATAAAAATACTGAAATTTTCATCTATTTTACACGAAAAATATTTTTTAAGAATGCCCGAAAAGTTGATAAATCAAACAAAAACATTTTACACAGACAGAAGACCTTTCTGAATATAAATTAATAAATTAAAATAAATTAAAAATTAAAAATACCTAACACATTAATAAACACTATAAATACATACAGGTTTTTTGCTCATATTCAATGACCAAATCTCTAACTTCTGTAAAAAAAACTATATTGTGACAGTTTTCTATTGAATATTTTACATGAATATATCAGTAACTCTGGTTTATAAAATGTTAAGCATTCTAAAAATTAAACAAATTCATGAAATGAAAAAGTTTGATAGATTCTCAACATTCATTTGAATGATATGTAGAGCGCATTATGTTACTTATGTAGTTATGTTGCTATATGACATACATATATCTCTCGATTTTCAAACTCATAGGTATATTATGAATATTTAATATTTTCTGGGTTATTAAAAGTTATTTTCTTCTTTCTTAACCTAATGGGTCATGACAAATTAACCAGAACCAGTAAAATTATCACGTATTAACCCCCGTTAAATGAGAACTATGTATAATTGTACTCATTAAATTTAAGTGGTTCTGGAAAAATATGTATTAAAGAGAGATGTCTAATATTATGACTACTACAACAGTGTTATTACAAATATTTATTTTCTGTAAAAAATAGTAACTAATAAACAAATATTTTGTAAATAAAACAATATTTTAGTTATTTGTTAACCAACAAATCTCTGTGTAGGTCCATCTTAAACATTTGGGTTTGATTGGAACATACTTTTCTTCAAGATTTGATGAATATCGAATTTCAGAACTATGAGTGTGATAGACTTAGCTGTGAATCAGTCATACGTGGCTGAATAATATAATTTTACACTATTTTTTTAAATTCAATATTATAGAATATAAAGTTTATTTTTAATTATATGTCGTGTTATTTATAGTTTATACGAACCAAAATAATGGTTAGTTGGATTAAAATATATTAGTTTAACTTTATTGTATACTGTATAGTAATTAAAAATAAAAATATATAAATACTTTTATAAATATGCACTAAAAACAAAAAAAAAAATAATTATAATAATTTGAAATAAATGTGATAATATGGACATACCGTTAATAACAAAATACATTTAAAATGAATGTTGATCGATTTTTATAGTTTCAGAACCCCGGAGAGTCAACTTTCTGTAGACAATGTACCTATATCTCTATTTGGACAGTGATGTATCCAATAAAGGGTGTTTGTTATCAACTATTGTTTTAATGACTTCATAGATCATATGATGGTACTCAGTGAGTATGTAAAAATTTGATTATCATCATCATTTCTTGAGTAATGAGACACGAATCATAAATTAAATTATAAAACTAAATATATAAAGAAGTACAATATTGACTTACATCTTTTGTCTAAAAATTAAATGATAAACAGAATGTAAAAAGGTTATTCAAAAATTGACAGCAGTAATTAAAAAAAAAAAAAATGTCAGTGAAATAAATTGAAAAGTTATAGTTTAATTTACAATTAATAAAAAGAAAAAATATTGTAAGCGAGGTCTCGAGCAATTCGTTGTTCGGGGTAACCACGCTTTAAGTGTATATCTTGACTAAGGACAAGTGGACTGTATTATGTGTATAATGAAATAATATGATGTATTGAAAAATTATAAGAAAGTCAATGTAACTTATAA